CTTTTTCACAGATGGCATCAAGTTACCATCCAAAATTTGCTGAAATTTTATTGAATCCATTTTTCCTTCTACTCGTGAGATGTTCCCTGTGCCACTGGCTGCAACACAACCCCAAAGCATGATTGATCCAACCCCATGCTTAACAGTTGGACAGAGGTTCTTTTCATTAAATTCTGTGCCCCTTCTTCTCCAAACATACCTTTGCTCATTCCGGCCAAAAAGTTCAATTTTAACCTCATCGGTCCACAGAACTTGTTTCCAAAATGCATCAGGCTTGTCTATATGTTCATTTGCAAAGTTCAAACAATGATTTTTGTGGTGAGGACGTAGAAGAGGTTTTCTTCTGATGACTCTTCCATGAAGACCATATTTGTACAAGTATCTCTTTATAGTGGAATAGTGTACCACAACTCCAGTGTCTGCCAGATCTTTCTGGAGGGATCGTGCAGTCAAACGTGGGTTTTGAATTGTTTTTCTCACAATCCTGCGAGCTGTTCTGTCTGATATTTTTCTTGGTCTTCCAGATCTTGCTTTAACTTCCACTGTTCCTGATGACTGCCATTTCTTAATTACATTCCGAACAGAGGATATTGACATCTGAAAATGCTTTGCTATCTTCTTATAGCCTTCTCCAGCTTTGTGAGCGTCAACTATTTTCAGTTTTCTAGACAACTGCTTAGAAGAACCCATGGTGCTGATTGTTGGGGCAAGGTCAGATGAGTCTGGGCATTTAAAACCTTTGAGATTGACATCACCTGGTCTTCCCAGAAGATGATTGAGAACAATCCATGACACTGGCAGGTCTGAACTTGGCAAAGGGGGCAGTGCATGCTATAAATTCTGCAGGGTGCCCAAACATTTGCAGACGTCATTTTTTTGTTTTCTGTTATTTTGAAAGTGTAAATGATGGAAATAAAATCTAACTTTTGTTGACATATTATAAGAATGTCTAATCTGTAATTTGATGCCCTTTGGAGATTTTTCCATCTTTCCTTGGCTTCTTTATGCACATTAATACAAATTTTTAGCTGGGGTGCCCAAACTTTCGATCCCCACTGTATATATATATATATAAAAAATCAGTTATATTTTAACCGCTTGCGGCATGAGCAGAAAGCGGTTATACCAAGATCATGGCTGGGATCGGCTTTCCAGTATTCCAGTAACCAAGGGCGGACTGACATTTGGAAATTCGGGCACTGCCCGAGGGCCAAGGGTCAGTAGGGAGCCCCATGAGATGCCCCTGGTACCTTTTTCATAGGCTTTTTTGAGTTTGGGCAAGGACATAGGGGCCCCATGATCCCCTATTGCCCGGGGGCCCCATGAGTTGTCAGTCCACCCCTATCAGTAACAGTGATCCGAGAGGCTTTACAGACGTCCGATCAGGTGTACAGCGCTCGAGGGCCCCCCTATGCTGCCATTCCCAAGCCTTCATGTTCCATTGGGGAGCCAGGGACCACTGTGGTCTGGAAAGTTGCCCACAGAGGAAATGGGGGAACATCCATTCCCTGACCTCCTGTGTGACACATGAAGTCAGAAAGTGATGAGGATTTTTGTTACTTCCAGTTTCAGTGCTGTCATTCTCTGGCTGTACCACATCTGTTTTTGATTAGATGCTTTAAAGAGCAAAGGAGATATCAGGGGTCTAATATACATTTCTCGATAAAGAGTACCTGTCACTGCCCAAAGCTATCACAAAAAGTTTGTTCATGGCTTGTGAGAGCAGTAAAGGTAAATAAAAAAATAAAAACAATGATTAAAAAAAATGTAAAAGCATCCCCGCCCCCCTGTGCTACATAGGTGCGGCACCTCAGAATGAAAGCAATAATTCTAGCACCACAGCTCTTTAACTCTTAACTGATAAATTGTAAAGGCTATTAAAGCGTAGCCTATGGATAATTTGTCACTATTTCACAGGCAATTTTTTAAATTTGACATGTTTGGTATCTATTTATTTAAAGCAGCATCATATTTCATATTTTAGCAAAAATTGGGTATTAAATTAATTTTAGTGCACACAAACACAATATAAGTGTGTTTTACTGAAAATTCACATTTGAAAAACAGATGCGTAAATAGTATGTCACATAAAATATTGGCGCAGCATCCATTTTATTCTCCAGAGCCTCTGCTTTTAGATAACATATATTTTGGGAAATTCTAAGTACCGTAATGTTGTAACAAAATGCATGATTTTAACGTGCATGTGAAAGCATACCTGTACAGAGAGACACATATAAGATATCATTAGAGACCTCCATCTGAGAATACTAGTTAACTGGCTGTTTTTGGTGTTAATTCTTTGAGTCTTAAGAAGCACAAATATTTGTTCTAGGTCAGTGGTAAACAAAATATTGGGAGTCACTACATCAGCATGGAAGCCAGATGTTTTAGAAGGAGAGGTCATCATATCATGAGTTATTTGCATTCTTGTGTCAACATATTTCCTAATTGCATTTTATATTGAGATTTATTGATCATCTAGGGACTTTATTTTAATGCAATCAGACAGCCAATTGATTAATATCTGCAAATTTTACATACAAAAGTTTGTTACAAGATTAAAATGCAATTATAAGAGTGTTGATAATAGCACATCCACTTTCACATGTTTATTTAGAGAACTATGAATGACAATAATTTCCTTTTAATTTACATTTTACAGCATATTGCTCATTGTTAGGTATTACATTCTAACTTTAATTCACTTAGGCCTACCACATGCAGTATTCTTGCAGTTTTGTGTATTATTTAATATATTTTATCATCCAGAATGTTATCAATTTACTAAAGGTTTTATCACACTGATCATTGAGTTTAGTGCATGTGTTATTCTTTGTTGATATATTAATAATTTTTGCAGTATTTATAAGTCTGTGTTAATTGTAAGGTTCTCGAAGGGGGCAAAGTAAACAGGACAACATGAAGTCATTTGGGATTGAATTAAAAATAACAGTTCATTAAAACAAAATCATATTTATGAGAAATAGATGATCACAACTGTTATGCACCTGACTCACCCAAAGAATAACCATTTCACGTCCATGTAAAATATGTTTGAAATAAACATTGTGCTATTCCTAAATAAAATAACAGCTTAGTGAATTTACACTAATATGCACTGATCAACTATGTCATCACAAGACTTAACCTGTTGTACATGTATTCCTTACACCCCATTACACAGGTTTAGATACCGAACCATCAAGAAGAAAGTCCATCTAGAATATTAGAACTTCCACAATGCTACCAAGCTTGATGTCATCAGAAGTAAAGACTGTAAATAATACACCATGAGTCTTGCTAGCCTGCTGTGTGGCCTAACTAATTTCAGGAATGGTGGGGAGGACCGGGGCTATAGGTAGGACATTTTATTTGATTATTTTCACTCGGGCAGTCGAGTTAAGAGACATACCTCCTAACTTAAGTATAATAAAAAATATAGACATTTAAGAAAAATTCACCCAATTCACAATCATAGGTGCTAAAACCATATATAAAATATAAAGTACATAAACAGTCCAAAAATTATCTGATATACGGCATATCCCAACATCTGAAAAGTATTCATGCACTTGTGGTTCCTCTTCATCTCTCCCACTTAAATAAATAAATAGGGAGAGACAAAGAGGAACCACAAGTGCATGAAAACTATTCACGGTGTTGGGATATACACTATACGATCAAAGGTTTGTGGACACCTGACCATCACAACTACAATATACTAATTTGTTAAATATGCCATTCCAAAAGCGGGGGGGCACTCTTTACGTCTGCAGGAAAAGAAATTTAATCTCCAAACACAGAAAGGTTTCTTCACTGTGAGAGCTGCGAAAATGTGGAATAGACTCCCTCAAGAGTTGGTTCTGGCAAGCTCAGTGGATTGCTTTAAAAAAGGCCTGGATTGTTTCTTAGATACAAAGAATATAACTGGATACTAACATTTATAGGTAACGTTGATCCAGGGAATATCCAATTGCCTCTCGGGGGATCAGGAAGGAATTGTATTCCCTGCAGGAGCAAATTGGATCATGCTTTGCTGGGTTTTTTTTGCCTTCCTCTGGACCAACTCTATGTATAGGATTATAACTTTTTTTTTTATGGTTGAACTAGATGGACTTTTGTCTTTTTTCAGCCAGACTAACTATGTAAAAGCATGAGTATTGATACACAACTAAACAACACTTTGGGGCTATAACAGGTTCCACTGGAAAGCGTGTTTGTTGGAATTTGGCCAATTTATTAACAAGAGCATTTGTGAGGTCTAGTACTGATGTTGAATGAGAAGGTCTGACATGCAATAGGCATTTGAGTATACCCCAAATATTTTCAAAAGAGTTGAGTTCAAGGCTTTGTGAAGGCAACTCAGGTTCCTCCACACCAAGCTTATCAAACCACATCATTTTGGACTTGACTTTTGGGCACAGTCATGTCCTAAAACTGTCATCACAAGGTTGGAAGCACACAGTTGTTTAACCACTAGCCTACAGGGCACTTATACCCCCTTCCTGCCCAGGCCAATTTCCAGCTTTCAGCGCTGTCACACTTTGAATGACAATTGCGCGGTCATGCAACACTGTACCCATATGAAATGTTTATCATTTTTTTGAGATAGATAGAGCTTTCTTTTGGTGGTATTTAATCACCTCTGGGATTTTTACTTTTTCCTAAACAAACCAAAAACCACTGAAAATTTTGAAAAAAAAAAAGTTTCTTAGTTTTTGTTATACAATTTTGTAAATAAGTGATTTTTCTCCTTCACTGATGTGCACTAATGAGGCTGCAGTGATGGGCACTGATAGGCTGCACTGATGGACACCTATAGGTGGCACTGATGGGCACTGATGAGGAGGCACTGGTAGGTTGCACTGATGGGCATTGACAGGCATCACTGATGGGCACTGAAAGGCAGCACTGATACATGACACTGATACATGACACTGATATATGGCACTGATAGGCGGCACTGACTGGCACTGTTAGGCGGCACTGACAGGCAGCACTGACTGGCACTGATGCGCACTGATAGGCACTGATAGGTGGCACTGATTGGCAGCACTCATAGGTGGCACTGATTGGCATTGGTAGGTGGCACTGACTGGCACTGATGGGTGACATTGAAAGGCAGCTCAGATGGGCACTGATATGTGGCATTGATGTGCACTGGTATGCACTGATATGTGGCATTGATGTGGCACTGGCACCTGGCACTGATGGGCACTGGCACGTGGCACTTCTGGGGCCACATTGATCATCAGGGCACACTGGTCATCAGTGCCCTGATGATCAGTGTAAATGTCCCCTCCGCGGAAAGCCGATAACCGGAATTTCCGTGTTTACATGTGATCAGCTGTGATTGGACACAGCTGATCACATGACCGAGCCGACATCTTTGGCTCTTTCCGTGATCCGCTGTGTCCGAGGGACACAGCGCACCGGTGATCGCTGTGCTGCGCACTCCCTGAGCTGCGCACTCCCTGAGCTGCGCATGCGCAGTGAGAATGGTAGGATGTCATATGACGTCCTATCAGAACGAGAGAACCACCTTGCGCCCGTCATTGTACTATAGGGTGGGCAGAAGGTGGTTAATATTTCTTTGTATGCTGTAAGATTAACAAGAATCTTTATTGGAAACACCTGTACTCAATTACTGTAGGAGGGGGTGTCAACATAATTTTTGCCATATAGTATGTGAGATTATAAGGTGTCCACAAACATTTGATCATATATTGTATATCACAAAATTTCTGGACTTCTGTTTATGGATTTTATATTTTATATATGGTTTGAAGACCCGTGATTAAAGTGTATTGGGTGAATTTAAGCGCCTATCTTTTAATATCATTTTTATGGTTCAAAAGTGTTTAACATACACTTGAAGGGGCAGCTACACAGTAGTAATATTAAATTGCTTTATTTTCTTTATATATATTTTTTTTAAGCGAATAGAGGTAGGCACTTTCTGTTTTCTTTTGGTTTACTGATAATACAAATTTAAGTCCAGCCCAGGGGCGGACTGACCATTTGGAAACTTGGGCACTGCCCGAAGGTCCGGGGTCAGTAGGGGGCCCTATGAGATGCCCCTGGTACCTTTTTCATAGGCTTTTTTGAGTTTGGGCAAGGACACAGGGGCCCCATGATCCCCTATTGCCCGGGGGCCCTATGAGTTGTCAGTCCACCCCTGGTCCAGCCCCTAAAAAATACTACCGGAAGCCTAGCAATATTTGTCCAGACCATGGCATTATGACTACCCTGTCAACATATTTTGAAGATAAGAATTAAACACAATTGGCAAACTGGACAGGACTGGGGCAGACACATATTCTGCCATAGCGCTAAGACCCTAAATATATCATGCTTTCTATTACATCTATGCATTCTCTTCAAGTTGGACTGTCTTATGGAAATATGTTTAGGGGTTATTTATGGCTGCATTTCCTTTCGTCCTATTTATTTCTGGATAAACGGAAAAAACATTTAATGGATGAAAGCTGCAGATATGCTACTCCACTATTCCAGGAAAATGGAGAGGACACCATTTATGGAACTATTAATGAAATTAGTATGATTAAGATCAAGATATAATGGGGAATTGAGGCTCTTCATCATTTAAAGGATGTTTGTCTTAACAAACTAAACCATTTAGGGACATTATTTGTGCAACCAAACTGACAGCTACGTATCACCTAATCTCAGCTGCTTCAGTGTAGGAGAATAGTTGCTAAATGCTTGGCTTGCAACACCAGGATTCTGTGTTCATTTCCCACCTGGGATGATATCTGTGTAGAGTTTATATGTGCAGGTTTCCTCCATTTTCTCCATTTTGTCCCAGCAACTACAAAATATAATGAAGAGAAGCTGCCGATGTGAATGGTCCATGTACTCTGCAAAGACTAAGAAGAAAACCAATTCATTAGGTGCATTCTCTCAAATCAATCCTGGATACCCCACAAAACAAACTACAGTGGGGATCGAAAGTTTGGGCACCCCAGCTAAAAATTTGTATTAATGTGCATAAAGAAGCCAAGGAAAGATGGAAAAATCTCCAAAAGGCATCAAATTACAGATTAGACATTCTTATAATATGTCAACAAAAGTTAGATTTTATTTCCATCATTTACACTTTCAAAATAACAGAAAACAAAGAAATGGCGTCTGCAAATGTTTGGGCACCCTGCAGAGTTAATATCTTGTACTGCCCCCTTTGGCAAGTATCACAGCTTGTAAACGCTTTTTGTAGCCAGCCAAGAGTCTTTCAATTCTTGTCTGAGGTATCTTTGCCCATTCTTCCTTACAAAACTCTTCCAGTTCTTTGAGATTTCTGGGCTGTCTGTCACGCACTGCTCTTTTAAGGTCTATCCATAGATTTTCAATTATGTTGAGGTCAGGAGATTGTGAAGGCCATGGCAAAACCTTCAGTTTACGCCTCTTGATGTAATCCCCCATGGATTTCGAGGTGTGTTTAGGATCATTATCCATTTGTAAAAGCCATCCTCTCTTTAACTTCAGCTTTTTCACAGATGGCATCAAGTTACCATCCAAAATTTGCTGAAATTTTATTGAATCCATTTTTCCTTCTACTTGTGAGATGTTCCCTGTGCCACTGGCTGCAACACAACCCCAAAGCATGATTGATCCAACCCCATGCTTAACAGTTGGACAGAGGTTCTTTTCATTAAATTCTGTGCCCCTTCTTCTCCAAACGTACCTTTGCTCATTCCGGCCAAAAAGTTCAATTTTAACCTCATCGGTCCACAGAACTTGTTTCCAAAATGCATCAGGCTTGTCTATATGTTCATTTGCAAAGTTCAAACGATGATTTTTGTGGTGAGGACGTAGAAGAGTTTTTCTTCTGATGACTCTTCCATGAAGACCATATTTGTACAAGTATCTCTTTATAGTGGAATAGTGTACCACAACTCCAGTGTCTGCCAGATCTTTCTGGAGGGATCGTGCAGTCAAACGTGGGTTTTTAATTGTTTTCTCACAATCCTGTGAGCTGTTCTGTCTGATATTTTTCTTGGTCTTCCAGATCTTGCTTTAACTTCCACTGTTCCTGATAACTGCCATTTCCTAATTACATTCCGAACAGAGGATATTGACATCTGAAAACGCTTTGCTATCTTCTTATAGCCTTCTCAAGCTTTGTGAGCGTCAACTATTTTCAGTTTCAGTTTTCTAGACAACTGCTTAGAAGAACCCATGGTGCTGATTGTTGGGGCAAGGTCAGATGAGTCTGGGCATTTAAAACCTTTGAGATTGATATCATCTGGTCTTCCCACACGATGATTGAGAACAATCCATGACACTGGCAGGTCTCAGCTTTGCAAAGGGGGCAGTGCATGCTATAAATTCTGCAGGGTGCCCAAACTTTTGCAGACACCATTTTTTTGTTTTCTGTTATTTTGAAAGTGTAAATGATGGAAATAAAATCTAACTTTTGTTGACATATTATAAGAATGTCTAATCTGTAATTTGATGCATTTTGGAGATTTTTCCATCTTTCCTTGGCTTCTTTATGCACATTAATACAAATTTTTAGCTGGGGTGCCCAAACTTTCGATCCCCACTGTATATCCCCCAAAATACATACGGTATATACCAAGTAACACCATCTGTATTTAGACCCATATCTGCCAATTCCTTTTATTTCTCCACAGGGTTACTTGCTCTAAATACGGAGGTGTGACAACACTGCTACTCTACGTAATCAACTTCTCACCACTCTTTGTAGACCTATGCTCCCATCTCCAAATGTAAACCTGACTATCTTGCTAGTTATTTACCCTCTCCCAAATATGTGTCCCTTTTAACCACCTTATTGACCTCAGGTTTCACAGAAGCAGAAAATAAAAAGGGAGCACAGGGGATGATTTTAGTGTAGTCAATTACACAAGAAAAAGACCAAACCATATAGAGGGGAATTTATCAAAAACGGGCAGCCAGAATCTGGAGCAGATGTGCATGGCTACCAATCAGCTTCTATCTTACATTTTCAAAACTTAACTGAACAAGTTGAAGATGGAAGCTTATTGTTTGCCATGCACAGCTGCTTTAGATTCTGGTTGTGCCAGTTTTGATAAATTCTCCACATAGTATCTTAACATTTTACAGTAAGTTTAAGTTGTGTTTTGTCAACTTCTTCTTATTGTGATTAATAGATTGGTGGGTGATTCCTCTGCATGGTGATTCATGTGTAGTGTGCCTGTTTTTTACAATACCTAAAACCTCAGACGTTCATTTTGTACCAGTCTTCTACTGTTTAGATGTGTATGCATACAAATTTATCAGACCATGTTGGTTCCTTGGAAAACAAACATTTATAGGTTACATTTTCTTATAATAGTATAAAGCTATAATTCTGGTAGAAAGCATGATTAGGGAATAGCCCACAGAGTTGGAAATCCGGTTGCATAGTGCTGACAGAGGTTTTTTGGAGTGTACAGTTCATGATCTTTATGTTTTCAAAGGTGGCTGACATTCAATTTCCTTATTGCACTAAAGCCTTGAGATAAAACTGAAATCTCCAACAAACATGCATGATTGCACAGATGTGTCATTGCAGGTTAATTCATGCAAGTGCCAGTAACAACAGAACTCTGAAAGCCTTTTGCCTTGTATGAGCTCCATATTTCTGTGAAAAAAAGAAAAAAAGAAAAAAAAAAAAAAAGAATTTGCCATTACAAAACTTGGTCTCTAACCATACTTGACCTTATCCTTTTTACAAAGAAACATGTAGGCCCAGTAGCAGCACCTTTACCTGCAACAGCCGAGCCCCTTGGAAAGGTTTACTGTGTAAATCATACTGTAAGCAAAGAGAACATACAGTAAGTAAGCAGCAAGTCTGATGAAGAGGGAACTCCCCTCAAAACATGTTAGCATTTGTTAGCAAACATGGCATCTTCCCAGCATACAAGAAAACAGCGATTCTAGTGATTTTCCATGTGGGTATTTATGATGAGCATGTCCTTTGTGTTGCTTTGTGAATATGATTGCCTATTTTCCTCTTAATAAAAGGTGTTTTAAGTTAAGGTACTAGGTTGGTGCGTCCTCTCCCTGTTTTTTATTCATAGTGATTGGACCACCTCAGTTTGAGGAGGGCAGGATGATGTGCTAAAGAAACTGAATAGTGGAAGTGGAGTTGATTGACCCAAGAGATCTTGAATGAAGATAGTCCACCTATATTTGAATATCACACCTGAGTGCAGGAGGATGAATGTTGATTTGTGCACATCCAGTGCTGACTACACGCTCGGCATACAACTTCTGTCTGTAACAGAAGCATATTCAGTATCTGTTCTCTTCCTGTGGTTAGCTTAAGGACAGGCACTGCCACTAGTGAGCACAATATTACAGACAGTGCCTTACAGCGATTTTCTGTGTCCTAAGAGTTGCATGAACAGTCATCACACAAGTAACATTTTCTGAATCTTCATTCATCTATTGGAATACAATGTTCATGTATTTTGTGTGCAACAACTACATCAGTATGAGTATT